ATTAATTTACATTTTTTATTTATTTCTATCGCTGCTTTAATAAAGTCTCGTCTGCTTGTCCGTCCGTCCGTCTATGTCTACTCTGGGCTGCTTTATTATCTGTCTGTCTGTTGCTATGGAGCCTTATCAAAAATTAAGGAAAATTTGTCTATAAAATTGCTTCCCTAACGCTCGCATTTTCATAGAATTTTATTTAAGTCAATATCAAACTAAAATTAAGAGAATTTCCAAACAGCTTTTGTTAAATAGAGTATATAATGTCTATTGTCTAAATTTATAGCTGTCACTTCCCAAAAAATTAAAGGAGATGCCACAGAGCTTCAGGTATCTCCTAGTTGGGCACTTCCAGTTAAAAGAATCTTACTTTGTTATATGATAAAAAAATAAAGAATATCGAATATATTCATATATCGAGGATTTTCGCTTTGCTCCCATTCCACTAAGTCAACTTTTATGAAATCTATATTCATATTCTCTGCACTCAAACGTGTCTTGCTTAACAAAATCAGATAGTAATGCTTAGCCAAGAACAAATAGTATTTTCATATGGCAGATAACAAACTCAAGAAAATGTATGCAAATGATGGAATTCAGCCCCTCAGCCATAATCCAATTAGATGCAATTGTATATGTATCTTTACCTCTTACACACACACACACACACACACACACGCACATCTAGCAATTGCAGTCACGTAGTCAAATTTCGTTGTGACAGATGCCAGCCGGAGGTATCCTTGTTTGTTTAGCGAACTTTGGAGCTGAAATTCGCTGAAGAGCTGCAAACGAGGCAGTTATTATATAACTGAATTGCCAGCCTCTGCCACGCCCACGCTCCCACTCTCACTCCCTCTTTCGATGATACTATTGTGCTGTCTCTCTGTTGTCGCGCTGACAGGCGACAGGCAGCATTAATTGGAAATTAATAAGCCGAGCAAAACGCATTCCGAAAAGCTTCAATTACAGCGCCATGGCAATAGTTACAATAGTTACAGCTGATGAGATGGCATGGAAAGAGGCCTAGGCCCATAGAGGTTATAGCTGACAGCAGCTGTGGCATACTCTATCATCGCTCCTTTACACAAATGACGCATAAATATGACTCACTTTACACAAAGACACACACATACATACATATACTATATACTATATACATACATAGGTATATAGAGTTTTAGTATTAATTTCCTGTTGGGCTCGACGCGATTCGATTATCCCTCTCTCTGGCCGACCCGGCAAAAACTTTAGTTGATCTGATTAGCTGTCCGTAACACGTCACAGCTACGACGAGGCACATCATCAGCCACGCCCGCCCCTCCTGCCACTCCTGCTCCGCCTGCTCTGACCGCCAACTTCATTCATATGCAAATTATATAGTGCAGCCGTTAGGCCAGCTATTCACAGTTATTTAAGCCCTGCCCGAATCGTATTCAGCATATTTCTCGCCACGAATTTGTTTGCCTTGATGAAGTTCGCTTCGCTCTGCCATAGTCGGCCATAACTTTTCCGATGAACTGAAGTAAGTTTCGCAAGTGAACTCATAAAGTAACTGCAAGTGAGTGACTCTTGGCTGGCCAGTGTTGCAAAACGTATTCTATTCAACGCTCGCTTCCAGCAGCTGTCACACTTTCAATTGTTTTTCGCTTTACACCTTTGTGAATGGATTTTGCTTTATAAGCATTTTCCTTTAAGAAGAGACTTTCATTAAGTTTCGACATTCTAATTAAGTTTATTTTCCTTTGAATTATAAATGCAAATAAGTTGAAAACTTTTAGAGTTTAGTGCTGTAAAACGGTCTTCTTCATAGCTCAGTTGTTGAACACTTTTCAATTGTTTTTGTTGCTTGTTTGGAGTGAGCTTTAAGGGTATATTGGCTTTTGTATAGTTTCTGAATAAATGGCAGATGTTTGGGTGAGGCGAGGAAAAGTGGGATCCATTGAAGCTGAATGAATGTGATTTTCATATATTTATTATCAGTTTAAGTTTTATTTATATTTATTTTATATATTTATTAATAAACTTAAAAAAAAGTGTTGAATGTTACTTTTTACTCAAAAAAAGAAAAAAAAATGAATTAAAAAAATATAATAATAATAATAATAATTAATAAATAAAATATGACCATGTAATAAAAACTTATTATAAATAATATAAATCATATAAATTATTTATAAATAATTTAGTATACACTAAAAAATACATTATTTAGCTATTGACAGTATTATGGCATATTATGTTAGCAATAAGAGAAGTATGTACATATACATATATATACGATGGATCCACTCTAAGACTATTTAGTTGTAGCTCATAGCCTAATTAAATATAAGTTATTTTACTATTACTAGTACTACTACTATTTGTTTTCGGATCGCTGCTGCATGTATTGCTGCTGTTAGAATACATTCTTGACATACTGTGTATATAAATATATATGGATAAGACTAGTATTATATAGTTTTACCTTTGTTGTTGTGGGGTGGCAAAGCAAGCATATTGGTTTTTATGAATATGGAAGTAAATCTGGCAGCTCTTATATTATCTCACCTATGCATACCAGAAATAGAAATTCATTTAATTGTCAGAATCGAAGTTTACTGTGCATGAATTTTCTGATAGATTTCTTTTTTTTTCGTATAGTTTCTGTTGATAGAGTTACAGAATTTCTTTAGCTTTAATCAACTATTTTAAGGTTAAGTCTCGTGTTATTCCTAAAACATTCATTATTAACAGAGTCGGAGTCCTTAACAGTGCACATCTGTTGCCCTTTACTGTTAATGAAATACTGTTAAGTATATGAAAGCCCAAGCAGAATTTCAGTTCCATTAAATCTAGGCAACTAACAATGCTCAAATGTACTTTTGATAGATGACTGCTTAAAGGAGTTCAGCTCAGGCTGGGTTAAGCACCTTTTGGGGGAAAAACCTGATTAGACACACGTAGGGACGGCATGCCGCGTGACTTCGTGACGCGAATTTGTCTGTGATTCCAGGCATTGACTGTGATATCTGTGAATAGAGCCAGTAGCTAGAGGACTATATACCTTCTACTATCAACTATCTGCTGTCTGCTAACTGTTTGTTTTTCGCTGATTTGCTCAACCGAGCAGAAGGCAAAGTTTGCGTTGAGCAACTCATTTAGTTTGCAATTAATTAGTGGCAACAGGGTGGCACTTGCCGTTGCAGCCAGCACAGGGTGGAGTTTTTGTTTTTTGTTTTTCATTAAACTAAATAGATGCGGCTTCAACTTGTTTGCAGCCGTTGTTGTTGTTGTAGCTGTGTTTGGCCGGCAAGTTTGGAAAGCGTTTTCCGGTTCCGAATCCGGCTACAAAAAAAACAAAAATGAAAAGCGCTTACTGAATATATTTGTGAGGGGCGCGAAATGGAAATGCTTGAAATGCTTGACCCAATTGGCAGCCCCAGCCGAACGAGCAACATGCAAAACATTTTTTGCGCAGCTTAAGGTAAAGAGCAGAGCAGAGCTGAGCAGAGCAGAGCGGAGGCATAACTCTGTGTAATCTAGGGTCAGTAAATGATTTTCCCATTAAAATGCATGAGTGTGTGCGTGTGTGTGTGCGACAGAGCTAGAGAAAGGCAGAGAGTGAGATGTAGAGAAGGGGGAGGGAGGGGGGGTGGAGTGGAGGCTGCTTGTGATAAGTAAAAGTTTGTTGTTTCTTGCGGCAGCTGTGTGCTGTGCGAGGATTCACTGCAACAACTTGGTGGCAGGCCCCGGAGACCTAACCCTGTACTTACACAATTTGATAACCTACTTTTGGCATAATGCTTTAGTTGTTGTTGTTGTTGTTGCTGTTGTTGCTGGCATTGTTGTTGCTATTGTTTGGGCTGCAATGTGTTTTCGGTTGGCAACATTAAAAATTTACACATAATGACATTGACGCACACTTTGAGCAGCTGGCAGAGCAAGGAGACAGAGAGAGAGAGAGAGAGATAGAGAGAGAGAGGAGGAGGAGGAGAGCTGCGGCTGTGGCTGTGGCACACAGACGCACTCATGTCCTTGAGCTTATGTTTTTGTTTGGCATTAAGAGCATGTCGAGTCACCAAGTGCGTGGGACACACACACACACACTCGCACACACAGAGTCACATATATAGCAGGGACAGCAGCAGCTAGCAGAAGGAAGGTGCGTGCCTTCACACCGAGTTGCCTACAAGCAGAGACGACATTTGTGGCAACGGAACTTGCCACGGATGTGTTAGCCCTTGCCACGTTGGCTATCTGCTGCCGGCTGGTGGGC